TATAATATATATATAATATATGTAAAAAACATACAACTGAGAGTCCGCTCGACGGCGCCAGCCCCTTCTTCTCACCAGATCGTCTACCACTGCCCGCTGCCTCACCCGAGTTGTGCACTGAGCCATCCTCCTTCCTCTTAACGGCATCATCCTGCTCCCCCATCTCAGTGACGTTGATTATGACGTCATTATCGTGATCATCGTCATCATTATCGCCATCGTCATCGTCACTGACGCCACTCTCCTCAGACGAGAATATCTGCATCTCATTGGCTAAGCGGTCCGTTGTGGTGCCGTATTTGGCGGGCGCGGCCAGGGAGTCCGTGGCAAACGATAAGTCCATGCTCATGCTGAGCTCGTGGGTCTGATTGGCCAACGTCTCAGGTGAGAGCGACGCGTAGCTGTCATCTATTTTTAAAACGGCTGTGTCTGTGAGTTCGGGCGGCGGTGACGGGGACTCGGAGGGGGACGCCCCGGTGATTGGCTGACCTGCGCTTGGTATCTTCTGCGCGCCCTAGTGAGCGAATTCGGACAAGCGCAACAGGTGTGCAAACTGAGTGGTGGTGATGAACTTGCCAAGGGTACGTTAGTAGGATAGTACTGACACTTATCGAAAACAACAAAAATATTTTAATAGAACGTTCTCTACACAAATCCAATCCATTGGTAGGCATTCTGATTGGCGGGCGTTTGGCTCAACAAATACCTTCCCGTCTGTGGCATGTGGTGCGTCAAGGGGTGTCTCTCCAATGACTTCATCGGCATTTGTATCGACTAATGAATTGTTACTAATATCAACATTCCTGTCATCAGAGCTCGAAATTGATTGGTTGACCAAAATGTCAGAGTCATTAGTAGCCGCCAGACCACGTGTGCTCAGGAGAGATGGTTTGTGGGGTCCAGATGCGATGGCCCCCTTTGATGATACTGTAAATTAGGGCGAAAATGACAAGGTGCCTGTATTCAATACTTGATGCAGAAGGTATATTGGCACAAACATAAGATATGGTTTTAGATATTTACAATTGTATGCCTGTTTATATATGTGTACAATTACACCGACCAGGAGCGGCACACTATTTCATCAGATAAACATCTGTAAATTTATCCGTGTATACACGCATATAAACGCATATATGTGTTCACATTATATGTATATATACATATACA